TTGAAAGAAGGGAAATGCAAGTTTGCAGCTATGCGTAGTTTGTTTCAGGTCTTCAACTGTATGCATTGACTCAAGGTTCTGTTGATAAGAAATTCACATTTTAAGTCTTAAAACTAAAACCCATACATGCCAAGAATATGCATGCATTTCATAAAAAAAATGAAATGTAATTGAATGACTACAATGTTAATAGTATTTTCATTACTTTTGAGTGGCTGGAGATAGAAGGACATTATTATTTGAGTCTTGTAAGGGTTACCTCTCCATGCCACTCTTCTTGAAACAGCAGTTCTTAAATACTTTTTTATAAGGATCAACAAATACAGCTTTTCTCATGTTTTTACTATGGGCATATTGCTTGGGTGGAGTGGAGTAGAGGATGTCATTAAAAGTTGTCCTACATAAAGCACCACCTTTTTCTTACACTAGAAAATAATTTCAGAATTAAATATCTTCATTTATTTATGAAACAATTCATCAGGAGATAGTCGTGTCCCCCCCCCCCCACACACACACACACAAACATAAGGGAAATTCCACTGAGAAGCTCCTGGGCTTTTTCCAGAATTATCCCCACTGAATGCCGTCTGGACTACCGTAATTCATTTTACATTGCTTTAAAATAGAGATAATGGAATCAATTGTCTGTACATAGTGGAATACAGCTGGACCTGATTTTAAGATTAAAACCAATCTTGGAGAACTATGCAAGGTTTTACATTCAACATGATAGGTGTCACCTAATTTGTGTTATGCTTATTATGTGTGCATGTGCTTGCCTACACAAATGTAGCTTTCTAATGCTTGCCTATAATCTTGGGCAGCAGTAGAACTTTAATGTGATATAGGGCATTGTTTTTTGTGTATTTGTATTTCCCAGTTTTCCAGTCCTTCCCTAACTGGAGTACTGATGTCCTCCTGGGAGAGGATTTCAAAGGTGTATATTACGTTATATAAACCAATAAGGGGGAAACGACAGTTAAGCACTTGCAGATTGTGTGGAGTATTTTTAGAAAAAGAAAAATAGATAAGAACTGGACTTAGATATTCCTATACGTCTGTCACATATTCATTAGGAGATGTCTTTAGAAAGTTGATATCAAATCATGCTAAAACAACCTTAATTGTCATGTAATTGTCACTAATGCAGATAAAAGATAAAGTGAAAATATAGTTTTGGGTCCTCGCGCACACTCTAGGATCACCATCCTCAGTGTAGGTTAGTGTAAAGGATGCTCCTGCTAAAGGAGAAAAGTGATTTTTGACCATTCTTCCCTCCCTTAGGCCCCTGTACTTCTTAAGATTTGCTCAAAATGTGACTCTCTGGAACAGTATGAGGTGTAGAGCAAAGGCTATAGAGAGAAGAAAAAAATGGCTGAAAATCCACTTCTCTTCCAATAGGAGCTTCTGCTATATTGGGAGCCCTTCAATGGATGGAAGCATCTCTTCTGTTCATGGGAGGTGGGGGATAGGACCCATCCTATAAGGGTTGGGAGGAAAGAGTGTTATTTTTTGTACTTGTTTCAGTGCTGCTCTGAGACATCTTTTGTGTTTTTGCCTCCTGATATGAAAACATAAGAACATAATAGCATGTATTCAAAGAAGATGTTCTAGATATGTTTATGTGATGTATTCAGGTATTCTGCTGACTATTTTTATCCCAGTTTTGTGAGATCAGGTTGAATGATGTACTAGAAGGATGTGTGAGAAATTGATACTGCTTTTTTGTATTTTTTCTTTAAAAATATCTCCATGATGCCACAAAACTAAGGGCTTTTGCAGACTGCTAGAAATATTGCAAATTGTACTTTAACTGCCCTCACTCAGTGCTAGGTAATCATGGGAACTGTATTTTATTGTGGCACCAGAGCTCTCCGACAGAGAAGGCTCAATGTCTCAGAACAAAAACAATTCTCATGATTCCCTAGCACTAACCCTAACCCTTAAAGTGGACTCAATCTGCACTATTTCTGGCAGTCTGCAAAGGCCTTAAGTTGTTTCAGAAAAAGAAAATCTCAACATGTTGATGTTTGTCCAACACAAATAATCACATTCCAAAGATCTGTAGCTCTCAGGGAACAGAAAACATAATTGTTTTCATGGATCTAATGCAGCGCTAATTCTCCCAGCTTTTTAAAATGATACAATTTATTATTATGTTGGGGCACAGTTCAGTCCATGAGCTGAGCAATATCCTAGATTACTTTTATGTTAGTAATGATTCAAAGCAAGTATGCTTTATGATATCATCTCAAACATATGTCTTTATTGCATTGCGTACCTTGGGACAAGTGCAACCTGTGTATTTTGGAATCTGCCCTGGATGAGTACAGTGAGAATAAGTCTAAAGTTGCTTTCTCTCTGCCAAGAAAACTGCAGACCTGAAACAATCAGTGCATTGCTCTTGTGTCTGCACCAGGGAACAATTAGCTTCTAGACTGGCATATTACCACTTTCACACTTTATAAAATTAGCTGCAGTGTCCTCAGTTTTTCTTTTCCTTTGATTTTTTTTCCAGCTTTACTTTTACTTTACTGAGTTTATGACTTGTGCCTATGAACAGTCATCTCACAAATGGATGGCATTAATGGAACAGTATAGTTCATATTGCTGTGGTCCAGACTCTGGGAATAATTACAGCACTGAGTATTAAGACTTCAGCGTTTTAACTTGTTTTGTGCTTCAGAAATTAATGAACATTGAAATTAACAAAATAAAAGCTCTTGTTAATGTTAGTTTTTGTTTTGTTTCAAAGGTAGGCATTATGGGAGAAAACAATTGTGACTCTTTTTAAAATGTTCATATAGAATTTACTATGACATACCATAGCTTTTAAAATAATTTTAGTTTTTTAAAAGTGGTTTTTTTAAAAAAAAAGTTTTTTGTTGATTTAACCTACAATGGTTTTGATTTCTTTAACATTCCTTCTTCCAAATTTTTATCTCTAATGTTTTGAAATGCATAGTAGCAACAACAATAACAAAGGTTTTCTGCTGCCTTCATAAAGGATCTATGGGAACAGGAAAATACTTCTAAAGAAACCAGAAATAAGCTTTATTCATCAGGATGAAGATCTCTTTTAAAGGTTAAGGCTATGATTTGCAGGCATGAGTGCATGATAATTTGCTCAGATAGCTCTGAGTTAGATAACATGAGCATAAAAATGTATTATTTTAAAGTGGGGTATAAATCACGTTGACATTTTAATTTAAATTTATTGCAAAATATTTTTTCACAAAAGGCAGAAAATCTTAAAGGCTGACAATTCTAGCCTTAATGCATGCCACAGTGTGCCTTTTTGGTTTTCCTTCTGTATCCTGACCTCATCCAGATGGCGGAACTGAACTATAAGTATTTTTGAAAACTCTTGTTCTGTTATCTCCACCCTTAACATTTTGTATTGTAATGAAGAGAATTTCAGCAAATCAGTTGCTAAACCCACTTCATAATTATAGGACACACTATGGTAACCTAAAACCATATTTGTATATAGCACTCATTTTATACACAATACTTTTCAGTTTGTTTCAGTATTATAATGCTACTCAGTTGGGGGTGCAGGTTGAGGAGAGAGAATCTTTTAAACATGGTCTTACAGATATTGGTAACTTATATCATACATTGAATAAAATTCTGTTAACTTGTCTATGCTTAATTCTACTTATATCTCATGTGTTTTTGCTTTTTTTTTTCACTTGTTCTGGTCATTTAATTCTGCAATTAACATTTAAAATTTCAAAGCATCACCTAGCCAAAGATAAGTATTTTAAAAGTCATTAATTTTATTTGAAGAAAGTTAAGCACATA